GGAAAAAACGTTTGCTAGAGGAACATACCAAAAGAAAAAAAAAAGTCCTCATCATTTAATGTTTTCCTTCCTTCCTTCCACCCTTCCTTCCTTCCTTCCTTCCTTCCTCCCTCCCTCCCTCCCTAATTTTTTCCTATTCTGCTGCTTTAATATATCGGAAGCTTGCTGTGTGGCCTGACAGAGAAAGCTGTAGCAGGTCTGTCAGATGCCATCAGAAGTGGCCATTGTCTTGTATGAGATAAAACCTCACAGAGCCTGGCACTGCTGTTGAGAAATTACTGACTTATGAGCCAGTGTGATCCAAATGCTGGAGTGGTGTTTATTTGTTGCTGTTCTTAGTCAGGCTTGCCCTCTTTAAATTGATATGTTCACATTGTGCCTTGTGTTCTCTCAGGCCACACACAAAGTTCTTTTCCTTGGGCATAATTTAATCAAGTAAGTCATGTTCTTGCAGGAGCAGACAAAAGCACCCTTCTTCTCTCACCCCTTTGCCACAGCATGCATCTCTCAGAGTCATAGTCCTTTTATGGACTAGTAAGAGCCTTTTGGTCTTTTGTTGGCTGTGACTTCAGCTTTTGTCACTTGGCTTCATTTTGTCATTTGCTGGATTCTTCATAAGAATATGGATTCCATGTATTTTAGTTGTCCTAACACAAATGGAATTTTAGTTTTCTTGAACCTGATAGTTATATATGAGCTGTTGATATCAGGTCCCTTTCCAAGATCATGTTGTTTTTATCACATTACAAGCTGCTATCTCAACAATCTTTCCAAAATTTCTAGTGCTCTTTTGTCGAAGGATTTTACTAGCTGGCATAATTCCAAAATGGGAAATATAAGTCTTTTTTGCATATTGAATTGTATGTTCTCCCAATGCCTTGCTTTCCTCTGATTTGCTGAGATTTTCTTCTCTTCTAAACCAGTCATCATGTTTTCATCAGCTAGTCATTTTTAAATATTCCTTAGTCATCTAAATATATCTACTAAATATAATACTAAATATAGATGAGGCTAAGTCTGTCATTTAGCTCTTTAGATTTGATCAGAATAATCACACAAGTAGTAGAAAACCTCAAGTATGTGTAAGCTTAGTTCCAGTTCTGGCTGTTATGTTGTGGTAGCTAAGTGTGACAGATGACTCATGTATAGTGCTTTATTTGGTATATTTTTGTCTCTGGAGGTGCTTGCAAATGTTGTCCTGTTAGTGCTGGTTTGATACAATGTGCTTTAGCATGTACTATGTCTCTTTTGCTTTTCTTGTTCCATAATTGATATGGTGAAATATTTCCTTTCAGATTGAAGTTTTGATGGAATATAGACTATAAAGTCTCGGAGGAGTGTGACAGATAACTTCTGTTATCCTTCACTCCCAAATTCACTGCTAAATCACTCCTGTTGGTTCAACAAGGAATTTGTGACTTTTTGTTGTTGTTGTTGCTGTTGGATAGGCTTGGTCACTGGTGATTTTGCACACAGAGTAACAGTGTTTTAGTTTTCTTGAGCACTGCTTTCTAAACTGACATTTCCTGGGTGAGGATGTGCTATCACAGTACAGGTACAGACAGACTTCCGGCTAAGCTATTGTCAGACTTCTTTTTCTCAGACCTTCAGAAAAGTTTTAGTTTATGGCCTGCATATTATCTCTGCTTGGGAAGGATTTGCTTTCCTGAAAGCCCAAATGAATATGCCTCATCTAGTTTTGTATCATCAACATTAAACACAGTTTGCCTCTGTATTCCTCAGTATTGCAAAAAATGCTGGATATATTTTTTTTTGCCTCAGATCTGTAATATGTTTATTTTCTGTCTAGATATAATTGACAGTAGACTATAGCATTCAGATATAGTGTTTTTTTTATAACATTACATTATTTCCCTACCATTGTTAAGACTCAATCAATTTTCAGCTAGTTATATTATAAATGTTTAAGGATCTCCTGTCCCACAGTGTGCAAATAGCTATTTTTGAGCCCCTTTCTTTTTTTATCCTCTCCTAAGACTCTTCTATAACTGTGAAAGTGTTGCTTCCACTATCAGTTCTTAGCAGTATTGCTAAGATAAAATGGGGTTGGGTTGCAGCCCTCCATGTGTAAGATAAATTATTCTCTTGCTTGGTTGCTTTTACATTGGCCTCATTCTCTTGTACTTCATGTACTCATATCTCAGAAAAAACCCATTCCTTGCTTCACATAGACAGTGCATACAGCCAACATCATGTTGTGTTTTCTACTTGTTCTACTTTTGGTTTGTTGGGAAAAAAGAACAAGACCAAGCATGAAAAGGTTGAAACAGAGGTCAATATCACACGCAAGACAACACTGGCTTTTATGTAAAGTGTGACATGCAGGCTTCAAAAAAGGATTTTGGCCAAGTTGGAAACATCTTCTAGAAAGCATACAACTGATTCGAAGAAAATGACACATTGGACATTTTGCTTTGCACACCTTTAGATCAAATGATACCTCAATCACTGTGCAAAAAAGTATGTACCTGCTGACAATAACCCTCTTTTTCTCTACTGTCTTCAGCCTACTGCTTGTATTCTACAGAACTCAGCTTGATTGCCAAAGCAAAAAGCAATTTTTTCCCCTCATGAGCTGATTTTCCAGACCTTCTGGCCCCACAGGAAGACATTCATACCATAGTGATCTTGAAAAAGTTACTACCATAAAGGGCAAAATACTGTACAGACAGAGAAGCCTCCCATCTGCACTCCAGAAATGTCCACAGCACAAATACCCAAGTACCCAGAGTGATTCACTGAGCTCCTTAGTGGAGCAGGGCAATCCAGCTGCAGGCACATCACAATACAGCTGCTGAGAGCAGGGCTATGTGATTACATCTCAACTTGAAGGCAAATTAATATTTTTAAACTCTCAGATGCACGTGCATTCCTAGATAACCCCTAACTATCTTTTGACATGCACATGGAGGAACCTGCCCCTTGAAGAAAGATATTCTATGTGCAGAAATTGTGCAGCTTGTGGTGTTCTCTAAGATGTCCTTGATTTTATGGAGACATGACCTACCCTATGATCTACATGGTACACCACTGACTGGGACTCACAGAGAAGCCTAAATATCTTCTCAGGTATTGGTTTGAGGTTTTGAGATACAATCTGCTCAAAGTATTGGACAAAACCCCTGAAACATGGGCGAAACCCTGATATCTGGGAGCTTTACAGATGACAGAAAACAAAAAAAAATAACATTTCAAAACTATGCTCAGAATTTATGCTCTTCCCTAATTGTACTCACAAGGGAATAAAAAACAAGATATCTCACTGAGCCAGACAAAGCAAATATAATACATAACTTTCTTTGCCTGGAAAAAGTATGCTTTTACTCTATAGAAATTGGAGTTATTCAATTCTTGTAACAAAGCATTGGCTATAATAGATGACTACCACCGATATTATTGGTTATGAGGAAATATTTCACTGAATATTTTTCAAGGTGGAAGTTCCTATGAAGATTTTTTTCTGAAAAGAACCAGTGAGAATACCTCCCTTTTGTTATTCTACTGTGGTTTTTATAATTTACAATGCATGTAACCCATCTTCTACTGCTGAAGAAGAGAAAAAAATGCCTTCAGGGTTTAATATAAATTGCTAGATAAATGCCCAGTTGAGCTACAAACTTTATGAGTCTTTGAAATTTCTAGTTGGTTTCATACTAAAGAAATTTCTTCAAGTTTCCCTCCTGATTTCTTTCAGATGGTATGATAAACTTTGGTGTGGAATGTTTTTCTGTTTTGTTGAATTTTTCCCTCACTTGAGCAGTCATCCAGAAATAAAAGCCTTCTACGTAAATAATCAAAATATTCAGTTGATCGCGTTCAGAAAGAGCCTCATTCTTCTATTCAGTTATGCAATTATGAAATGCAATTATGAGCATCTTGAATGATTGTCACTTAAAAGGGTTGTAACTTTTCCTGGTTTATTAGAAACAGCTGGCAGATACATCAGAGGCGTCAGTGGAATTATTACCCTGAAGCAGATGTTAAACAGAATGGGGCAATAACAGCTGTTGCAATTAAAGGCATTGTGGGCACATTTCTGCACATCTCTGGCTCAACATGACAATGATCCAACTAAAGACCACTTAGTAATATATATTTTCTTTTGTATATTAAAAAAAATATTTTCACATTATCAGTGCAAAGAATGTGCTTTTTCTTACAGCTTGTGACATTTCTGAGGTAACTCGGACAACAGAAAGACTTGAATGAGATATTAAGTGACAGCTGATTTATTTTTTTTTCACTTTAAGTTCTCATTAAATATCACCCATAAAATTATCTCCTAAGTGTATATACTACCCATTGTTGAGTTCTTTGGAGGACAGTAGAGTCTTGCCTAAGTAGAAGAGGCTCTCTCAGAGGCTCTTCTCCTTGGAAGAGGAAGGTTCAGAGGCAGTAGGGTCACACAATTCCCAGCTGTATGGGAAAATCTCATAGTTTACGATTGCTTTCCCAAAGTGGACATGCCATTACATGACATCCTCCAATAAATTCATATTAATTTCTTAATCCTTCCTGCAGCATCATGGCAAATGTTTTCTCATTATTCAGCAACATTTTAAATTGATGGACTCTTGTTGCTGAGTCATAGTTAGAAAATTAAGGCAGATGACAAGTTTTGTCCTCAGAAGCTCTGCATTCTCTTGTATAAAGGAGAAGCTGAAAACCAGCTTAACTCAGATTGGCCAACATAGACTCAAAAAATGACTACATATTTTAAGCCACTAACCAAATGTGTTATGGAAGTCCCCCAGACTGAGAAGACGACCACACACTGGACATGAAAGAGGCAGAAATCAGGAAACACTGATTCATAATTTCACAGCTATGTGCTCTTTCCCCCTAATTACTTAGAGGTCCTTCCCGAGCTGTGACTGAGATTTCAATTCACTTACGCCCCAAATTCTCCTCAGCTGAGTGTATCTCAGAGAACTGCAGTTTGCCGATATTAACTTAACCATATCAATGGTTGTGTCAGTCTACATCAGATGAAAGAAGAATTTAGATGCTGAGGGAGAAGTTCAGACCACTTGACTACTTACAGCCAGAGGCATTCTCCTTGAACTGAACATCCTCATGGAGAATGGCTCTTTGAAAGAAACAACAGCATGTAAGAGATTGTTATTTGCCAAGACAAATTACTTGTATCTCTTCGCTGGATGAGAAGCCCAGTCAAACTTTAAGAGTGACAGATTTTTGTTTCTTTTTGTTTCTTTTTTTTCCCCCTTTTTAAAAAATACTTTTTATATTTTTTTGTTTGGCCTCTGAATCAAGTTGCTGGGGGAAAATGGCATATGGAACAGAGGGGAAAGAAAGAAGATAGGGGTCAAAATACAAATTACTCTTTTAAATTTAATTTTTCTTTTTCATTAACTAAGGTAGTAGAGAAATGATTGAAGCACTCAACCTTTCTTGCCTTCGTCTGTAGAAACAAAGTTTGCTCTCAAATCTCTCAGCCACCAACATACTGTGGAAAGAAAGGCATCCAGAAACCGGAGAGAAACAGGTTTGGGAATATTTAGAGAAGCTGGATATAATCTAATTCAGAGAGACAAGAAGTCAGCAGAGGTTGCTCGAAGTGTTGTCTAAGTAGCAGAGGCTTTCTAGGTGACAGCAACAAGGCAACATTAAAGTGACTGTGGAAAAACCATTGTGTGACTGGGGAAGGTCTCTGACAGCCTGGGAAAAGGCTGTTTTTACCTACCTTTAAGAAAGAAAAGAAAGAAGACAAAGGTAACCAAACATGGGTTGGTCAGCATCTTATCAGTCCCTAGAAAGATCATTAAGTCCATTCTGTGAGAATATATTCACAGCCACATGCGGTTAAGGAAGGAAAAAGAAGGAAAAGAAGGTTACTGGGAATGGCTGGTACACTTTCAGAAAGGGCAACTCATGGCTGAGCAAGCTGATGAGTTCAGTGGGCTCTCTACGTAGTTTCCCTGTAGCACACTTCAGAAAAGAGCTGCAGAAAGTAGGCTTTGGTGAAAAATTGGAAGTTAAGGTCACTGTTGTGCAGCTGCATAGCTCTTTGCCCAACTCCCAGAAACCCTCACTGTGGAAACTCTTCAGCTGATGTCTCCATTCAGACAAGTGCTCTCTGCCCTTGTGCCTGAGGGCTGACGTGACTGTTTCAGACAGCTATTCTTTGGAGATATTAAGGTTAGCCACTTAAATTACTGTATTAGTCTATCCATTGCCAGGCAAGAAGTAAACATGAAAATGGAGGGAGGATTAGTGTGCAACTCTGGTAGCCTGAAGGCATTCTTCCTTTGTTAGACTGGGGCACAGACAATGTCTCTGTGAGAAGAGAAAATTACATATACAGAGCATAAGACATCAGCCGTTGGTTAGAAATTTCCTGTGTCCTTGATCTTGATACTGAATCTCACTCACCCATGATTTTCAAAATGTGGTCAGTTCCTCAGTATTTTTCATAAGATAATGTAAAAAATCATTCCTTGTTAAAAAGTTAAAACATATATATATATATATATAGTCTTTGTATCCTTAATCTTCCAGAAGTACTACAGTAGATTCCCACCCTTCAGAGGTCAAAGACACTCTGTAGGTTTTGTGGGGATTTTGGAGAAGTTTGTAACAAACCATTTTGATTAGAAAACATTCTCTTTCAATGGTCTATTTATAAATAGAAAGAAGTGCACTGACTGAAATACTAAATAATAAATGTGTTTCTGATCTAGGAATGGCTGTCACATTTATTTATTTATTGTTACTGTTGAAGGAATGGATAATGAGATGAAGATGATGAGATGAAAAGAGATAATGGGACAAAAAGAGAGTGAACTTTCATTTTCTTCTGTTCTTCTTCCTCAGGTAATTTTGTGCTCAGTACTAGCGTATAATATTTACTGAAGATGTATTATTGTTACTGACACATATTTATTGGTTTTCTTCATTACTTGGACATGAGAGAGGAAAAAAAAATTATCTTATGTTCAATCTATAATTCATCCTGTAATCATCCCTGTAAACTTTGAGGAAAAATTAGAGTTTACTTTTGGTTTTGTTTTTCTTTTAACAAGAAATGTTCATACTTTAATCCATTATTTAACTCTAGGAGTAACAGTAATTCTTTTATGAGTAATTCTTTTACTCTATGAGTAACACTCCTGACTTTGCAGTCACTACATAACCCCATGGGCTCTGAATAAAGTATTTTATTTTTTTTTTCTCTGCCCTGGCTGTTTTTCACCTGCCTTGCGCCTCACCAACTAAGTGCCAGCTATCAGTCATCTTCTGGTTACTGTGTGAGGATTGTCACATGCTGGTCCCTGACAAAGCTCTGGGATAAACAGCCTCAGCCACCAGGCTGAAATGTAAAAGCGACAGGGACACATCTTGTGCCTCGTGCTCAGTGGTTGACCTAACGGTGGCTGTTTCCATGAATCTCATTTATTAAAAAAACAAACCCAGTGTGTAATTTTTAAGACTTTGTCATTAGAAAAGGGCTTCTCCTGAGTGAAAGCTGGCAACCCCACTTCTTTCTGATAACCTTCCAGCGTTACCTGACAGAGTGACAACCCTGCAATATAGTCCTTGTCCTGGGGTGATTATGCTGGCACATGCTGAACAGCATTACCCAAGGACTGCATCTTCTGCTTTCTACTGGTCATGTCAGCAGCTATTAAAGACATTATGCAATCTTCCTAAGTACATATAAATTGCTGCCATTCAGCTAACTTTTTGCTATTATTGCCAGCTATAAATTGTTTCCCTAGGTGACAAAATTCATTATTGCAGGCCACAACTGACCAGCGAAAAGGTATATCTGGGTCACGTCTGTCACAGATCATTATATATTAGAGAATACAGATATTTTTAGGAAAAGGAGTGACCAGTTCAACTGCCATTTTACTCTGAAAATCAGCTTTTTCATCCATCACTAGTAACTCAGTGCTCAAGCTCTGCCTTAAATCACTTCACTGTGGGCAATGAACTGCACAGCAGGATAGATACCATCTAAAGGAAAAATAAGTCTATAAATCCACAATCTCATATACATGCCCAGAGCATGAATAAGAAATAGTATTTCCCCAAAAGATGCTTTCTGCTCTTGCTTTTCCACATAAGATATATCTGACAATGCTGAGTTTCCATCATCATTTCAAGTGAACTGTAGGTTCACAAACTGTTTCTAACCTAAGAGGAAGAAGTCCCATCTTTATCACCAGAACAGTCAAATCTAATTCAAATTTCACACATTACCTTTTCAGCACCCTGTAGTTCCTGGCAAAGCAACCTCCATATATGAGATGGTACCTTTTCTTTTATATAGTTTTCTTCCCTCCAGATTGAAGTTTTTTACTGGGAAAACACAGGAAGGCCAATTACTGACAATTGCAGTACTCTTTTTTGGCTAAGCTAGCAAATCCTCACAGTAGTAAATCTGTCTAGAGAATAGATGCACTTTGGTTTTATACCTGCTATCCTCATTGCAAGTCTATCTTTCAAAATACATTTATTCTTGCAGATGTCACTTCTTTCATTGCAACCTCTGTTATTGGACCATGGAAAGGAGATCCTCCCTGTGGTTGCAGGTGCCAGCACATTACCTTGTTATTTAGAATGTATCAAACATACAGAAAAGTTGGTGATACCAGAAGCACATTTTTTAGGACAACAAATGTAAAATAAATTCGAAAATGAGGCAAATTGTGTTCCTTGTCAAGATAACATGAATAACAGGGATGGGAATAAAAGGCTGCTCTGCTGATGCCACAAGATTTTCTAGGGGTTTTTTTATGTTCTTCAAGGTTGTTATCAACTGATTTTGTAGTTACTAAAACAAATTTATCAGCTCAGCTGCAGTTTTATCAAATATCACAACTATCCATATGTGTTGACGAGTAATTACCCCAGAAAAAAATTAAATGTTCCAATGATACATATTCATGTATTTAAAAAATAATCTTACAGAGGTCTGTCTATAAAAAGACTTCACTTCCAAATTTATAATTCAAACTCTGACTTAAATATCAGCAAAATATAGATTTGTGTGTCTGCTCCAAAGGGCAACCTTATGTTGTCCTTTTTCTTTCCTCTACTTCTGAGCCTTGTGATGGGCCACAAACCTGCTTCTGCTCCTAGTCCCACAAAAGACTGTGGCATCGTGCACAGCCCATGACAAATTGTCCTAATGGCAGGAGAAAGAGAAGGTCAGTGTAAACCTCAGACATTGGAGACACTGCTTTGGCATAAATCCCTGTAGCTATGTAATGAGGAAGATGTATCTAAAAGTAAACTACTTGCTCTCAAGATTCTTCCAAGGATCAGGCAGCTGCTTAATTATTAAGCACTATGAGTACTCCCACTGATGTCAGTATGACTATTTATAATGAAGAAATTCAAGAGTGTTCATAATTCTTCAGGATAAGTGTTATTACATTAAAATGATTGTGGGAAAAATAATTTTGGATACAATTATATTTATTTAGGTGTCCATCTTAAAATATTGCTATAGTTTCAGTTTAATGTATCCTTAAAAAGTAATTTTAACTCTGAATTTCCTCATTTATAACATTTGGGTTTTGGGGTTAGAGGCTCCTTCTAATGCATTTTGTCTTAAATTATTGATGTGCACTGTCAACCTTAGTTCCATCATCTACTGTGGTATCTCGTCTGCATAATTATGCAAGTTAATGAAACCCATGAGAAGGTATTATGAACATTTAAACTGATTTATATGTGTTCCATATGCAAAGGAACATATTGTATGGAGAATTGAAAAATAATAGCAATTTCTATAGAAGTTCAAATATCTTATTTATAAGAAGGCTATTAAAGTAGCAGAATGAGATTAATGCAAAATTAACAACACTTTTTACAATTTTTAAGCTATTGGTTAGAGTATCCAAAAGAACTAGTATTTCTATGTATTCTGTGTATTATGTAGATATTTAAGCTTGAAGGATGGGCTCAGTAGCCTATCAAGGTAAATAAATTATATGTATAATAAATAAATACATATATTTCAGTTCCTTTTCTGCAAATACATTTTCTCTATTATGGTTTCATGGGTGCTTTCTTGAGCAAAGAGTCTCCTTATTTCTTTTCTGTTATTTTTTTTCCCCACTTAATTGGAAAAAGAACAGTTTCAGCAATTTGAACAATTTCAGCCAGCTCAAAAAAGGACATACTTTTTTTAACAAATGTCTTTCAACCTGATTTGTACTATAGCTTTTACAATTAACAGATTTATCCAGGAAGTATTCCTACAGAGTGCCAATTGACTTCCACCTGCTCTGCAGTTTGTTGGTAGCTTGACACAGTAATACCCTGTGCTGAAACACTTCACAGAGTACCTAAAGGACATTCCCATCATGGGCATGGAATAGCTCCAACACACAATCCACTCCAGGGGATGGGGCAGCCAACACAAACAGATCTAAGTGGGACTGGCAAGAGAACTATACCTGTTGCAGACTTTCTTTTGGATAAATGCCAAACACAAGGCAGAAATACCTAATTTCTACAGGCTATAAACCACAGCCAGTACTGCAATAGCAGCAAATCCCTATTAGACAGCCAGCTATTAACATCTGACAGCCTTTAAAAAGTTTGCTGCTGGTAGGTGGGTGTTTTTTTGAAGAAGAAGAGAAATTAAAAATTATTTCTAAGTGCATTCTACAGATTACTGCTTTCAGGTTAGTAAGTCATAGAAACTGAGATTGGTGAAGTCTCTCAAACAAGGTGCTGAACTTAAAACTGGCCACCACTTGCACTCTGTAATTCATGTGCTGTTATTTATTTAACATCAAGTGTGTCTGTAGACATCCTGGTTCAAGGATTATTTTAAGCTATTGTACTACTATGCGATTTATATATGGAGTATAGCTTTCTTTTTTGCAGTCTGACCTCTGAACTAATCAAGTGCATGATGTCTGGGACACATGAAAATGAGGAAACATTTTTTTCCATTAGATGATCACAGATACTGTATAAATTTTTGAGGAGGCAGTTAAACCTCACTTTAAATACTGAAATATTGAACGTAAAGAAGTCACTCTCTCACTTAGAGAGTGATCAAATCCAAAACCTTCAATCAGAATATCTAATACAGAAACTGAATCTACCCCATCTCTAACTTACATTTTTGATAACCAAATCTGGTGGGAAATTCAAAAAGGAAACTCAGGGTGTGCTCTACGTACATGTCAGGTATTTTTCTTTTCATATGCACAAGATAATTAACAGAGACTGATCCACCTAATGAGCAAATAAAGCTTTACATTCCATTTTTGCTGTAATTTGCAGCTGAAGATTTTACCTTATATGTATGACTTTTTTCCTGGTTTTCCTGAGCCATGAAATCAACTTGAACTGTTTTTCAGAGAATTATCTGACCAAGTTGATATCACACCAGATAAATTACAGAATCCTAAAAGGCATGAAATTTTGTTCTTCTAAGGATCTAAATTTAAAAGTCTTCCTGTGGCACATTGAACACTGACACTTCTGTACTTGCAGTCAAAGCAATAAGTAGAATATATTCCATTAAAATCAGTCCTGACCATGGATGTAAAATCTGCCCAAAAAAAACCCTAAATCAAACCAAACCAAACCAAACCAAACCAAACCAAACCAAACCAAAAACCTACCACCTTTGTAAATTTTAAACTGATTAAACAAGATGAGAATAAGTCCCTAAATATTTAACTTAAAATTCCAAGTGGTACTTAGGTTTCTCACTTTTACCAAGGTGTCACTTCTCATAAGGATTGAAAGTCCAGATACTTTAGAGGAATTCAGGCCTTGATGTGAGCTGGAGGCTTGCATTAAAAAGCATGCAGACTTGGAGGGGCAGCTCTCCATACAATGGGAAAAATCTAGAGAGAATACTGGACTGAAGGGTGCTTGTAATTTGGTTTATTTTTACGTATAAAACTGTCTGCTTCTAAATCTCGCTTTGTTGACATTACAGCAAGGCTGATATAAGCCAGTACTGAAGTGAAAATGGTGAAGTTGCTCTGAGTAGGCCCAGGGAAAAATAACTCAGTTCAGTATCTTATAATTGTGGCTCCACCTTTTCTCTGTAGGGTTGAATCACACTTGGAACAAGATCTAGTTTACCTGTAATTCACAACTCACAGTGGGTGCACTGAATCTTCTACACAAATATGCATTATAGCAGCTTTGTTAACCCCAGCGGCATCTTATTTTACAGACTGTTGCCATATTTTAAATGAGTCTTTTCAGAGAAAGGACTCATTTGCTTTGTATTTGTACCCTGTGTTTCATAATGGCACTCCTGTATTATCTATCTGTAAGATGCTACAGAAATAAAAATACAAATAAACCTTAAAAACAAGTATTCAACAGATAGTATCAAACCCCAAGATATTTATCTCTATCATAGGGTATGAGTGGGATGGTAGCAAAATAAACATTTCTGAGAAGACTGGTGAAATGTTTCTCCAATTCTCCTCATAAATGAGTCATAAGAAGGAGGAGACATACAATTGAGAAACAAATTCAGTTTGAAAGAAAATATCTCTTAGAGTTCTTCAGGCAATAATACTGTATAATGTAATGGGCCCAAACATAGCTTTAATCTAAACACACAATAATTAAATAAAAGATAGAAAGGTCTCTTTTTTTGCAAAGAAAGGGCCCTGCAATTCTAGAGGCAGCAGTAATCATATACTGAAATTATTGGATAAAGTTTTACTTTGAAATACAAAAGAGAAATATTTGAGTCACTAAAATGAATGAGTCCTGTTGATTTCCATGAGACTGATATTATTGTAAGATACTTGTGTGTGAAATGAAAATTGGCATAAAATTACATGGCAAGCAAAGAAGGGACTGCGGAAAGAATTTGTGTACCAGAACATTTTCTCCATCAATATAGATGTTAGAATGATGGTCTGGAAGGTAGCAGGACAACCCTGAGAAGAGGTTTTCCTGAATGCCTAAGATGTAACATTATTAAAGAGAAAAAGAGCAGAAAAATAATAAATCAGAAAGGGTGTTAAGAGAAGCCCATTGATAATGCATAAGTCTTTAGAGTACAGTTTTTTTGACCATAACTCAGAATAAGAGAACAGAAGACAACTAATGTGTTACATTTATGAGTATTGCTTTGTAATTCTACTTTTGGGATATCTTTAATCAGCGCCCAGAAATATGGATTATTCTCAACTGAATAAAAATTTTATACCCATTTATGACATATTTCTAAAGGTATAGAAAGGAAAAAAAGTAGAATCAAATAGAGGAGTTACAGGTAAAAATACTGAGATAGATTTCTGTTTGTTTTATTGTGTTCATTTCAACTGAAGTAAAATTTTTCAAGTGTGCCTGACATATATAACCTTTGTTTTGTTAAATGTTAAAAGACAAGATTCAAAGTTGTGATACAAATTCTATTTGCTGTAACGTTATTATTCAAGCAGCTCCAAACAAAAATTGATAAATCTGCATTTAGGCACTCATTTTTGAGTAGAAATTTTCTAGACTGAAGTTGAAGCAAGATATGAAATGAAAAATTTTTATAATGTATTTAATCTTAATGACTTCCATTTTTGTTGAAAAAGTTCATTTGACAACAAATGGAAGGGGAAGATAAAAACTTATGGGGAATTTGCT